TTATGTTTCTGTGTGTTGTAACACACATCTGTGTAGTCAACTGAAAGTAGAACACACAGAAACATAATGCTGAAAGTAGAACACACAGAAACATAATGTTATATTTCTTATATTTCTACTAAACCAGTAACACACATCTGTGTATCCAGTAACACACATCTGTGTAGTCAACTGAAAGTAGAACACACAGAAACATAATGTGGTTTAGTAGAAATATAACATTATGTTTCTGTGTGTTCTACTTTCAGTTGATACACAGATGTGTGTTACTGGTTTAGTAGAAATATAACGTTATGTTTCTCTTTATGTGCGTTAGCAATGACAACTTTCCTGTCTATAATCAAAAAGAAAAGTAGATCCTGGAACAATAACACCAAAACATACAAGTTTTATACCTGAGCAAAAAAGAAATGAAATCAGTCACAGAGCTGGCAAATAACACAACTGAATATACATACCTGACCTTCAGGACAAGGCTCACACTTAACGTTTGTACCCTGTCGTGTAACCAACCTATGCTGGGGTTTACATGTGCAAGAAAGGCCTAAAAAAAAAAAAATGGTAACAATTGGTTTGAAATCCTTTTTAACTCTGCTCAAATTCATCGAAGACACATAAATGTATATAATATTCACATGACAATCATAAGAATGTGTGTTGAATCACATAGAGTATTCACATGACAATCATAAGAATGTGTGTTGAATCACATAGAATATTCACATGACAATCATAAGAGTGTGTGTTGAATCACATAGAGTATTCACATGACAATCATAAGAATGTGTGTTGAATCACATAGAATATTCACATGACAATCATAAGAATGTGTGTTGAATCACATAGAATATTCACATGACAATCATAAGAGTGTGTGTTGAATCACATAGAGTATTCACATGACAATCATAAGAATGTGTGTGTGTGTGTTGAATCACATACAATATTCACATATACTACTAACATTCTTTAACATCCAAACATTTATCAATTCAGTACTAGAACTGTTACTACTGACATTCTTTAAAACCCAAACATTCATCAGTTCAGTACTAGAACTGTTACTACTGACATTCTTTAACACCCAGACATTCATCAATTCAGTACAAGAACCATTACTACCAACATTCTTTAACACCCAGACATTTATCAATTCAGTACTAGAACTGTTACTACTGACATTCTTTAACACCCAAACATTCATCAATTCAGTACTAGAACTGTTACTACTGACATTCTTTAACACCCAGACATTCATCAATTCAGTA